TGCACTCAGAAGGGCTGTGAGCCCCATGCCTCCTTGAAGTTCAATGGGCAGGTTTTTGAGGCTTTTCCAGTTGATAAACAAAAAATATTCTGTAGAAAAGGCTGTAGTTTGGCAAAAATTCTAAATGAGAGCAAATACCTTTTTTTTAATGTTGTCAAAAGGTTGTGTTTTGCTATTTTTGCAACAAAGGTTTGGGTTTTCAGTTTAAACTGACCTTTCAGATTGAAATATGCTCTTTCTAAGAAAGCTTTTAACACCAAACACCTTCTGAAAATCATCAGTGGCTCAGTTTAAGGACACTTTGGGGGTAGTTCTTTGTGGGGGAAGATGGAGGTGACTAAGAGCCTGTATTTCAACTAGTGGAAGCATTTAAGATTGATGTTATCCTGACAATTTAGGTCAGCAAAACTTCTGAAACATGTGGCAGTTCTTTTATGATAGGAAAATCTTTTACAGTCCTGCCGTAGGTGTGTGTGGGTAGGCTGGAAGACATCCGTCTTTGGTAGGCTTTGCTTGAAAATAGAAGAAAACCTGAGATTCCTGACTTTTAAGAATTCCCACGCTGGGATATCATAAACCAGGGATATCTGAGGTGCTTTGAGAACCCCTCCATCTTTTCTGTCACCTTCACACAGAAAAGAAAGTCTGAAGTCTGAAAGGTGACTTCTGTGAAGTGCAGCTCAGGTGGACTTCAAACCTGCTTTTATAAAACATCAGTCTAGTGCCAGCAGAAAGGTTTCATTCCAGGATGTGCTGAACGTCCACCTCTGGAGCAGTGCCAGGTAACACACTGCTGGGCCTACCAGCAACAGTACTTCCTCGTACAATTTCTTCTTGTTTGGCAAGAGTTAAAGCATAGCAATGTATTAACCCTTCTAAATTGTGTACCCGGCCTGCACTGGTGGCCACTGTTGGTGTAGGTCATGGTAGACAAGACACTGTCTCATCACGGTTTGCCTTTGATGCACAGAATATGATGACAATTGACTACTGTAAAGTGAATGGTGAACAGTTTTCTGTAGGACAGCCGTATTTCAGGTGCACAGGAAGAGCTAATAATTAGTGTCAGTAAATCACTGTAGAGCCAACCACAAACATTATAATTCAGTTTGTAATTTACCCCTGATGTGGGTACTTGTTCTTCTTAATACTTAATATGCCTGTTTATAGAAAAGTTGATTGAGATAATTAGCAGTGAAAATGCTCAGGTAACACAGCTTTGGTAACATTTATATTGCCATCAATTTTGTTTAGAGCAGCCTAAAGAGCAATACTGAAATTAGAAATTAACTACAATTAGCAAATAAATTGAGTGTCTCTTGGAATTACTTGATCGTGTCTTAAAACACTGCACAGTGTGATGCAAAAGCCAAGTGAGTCCCTGGGCTGTGGCAGCTGCATGGAGCTGAGGTGCACACAAAGCAGGAACCTCTTTTGGTTCAGTGCTGCTGATGCCCAGCCCAGGGCATATTTTGAGCCTGTGCATACCTTACCTTCAGTTGAGCCTGGGCTGCTGCACCACAACCCAGAGCACACTGTAAAGCCAGAACCAAAGTTTAGCACTGGGGATTTACCTCTCCGTGGGGATAAAGGTGGCTGAGCGAGGTTTTTCCTCCTTGTAGGGAGTGGCTCAGAGACACTGTTCCACTTGCACCTTCTCACTAAGTGAACCTCAAAACACACATTTAATGCTGGCAAACTGGCATGAGAGGAATAACTTGCATTGGAAATGTGTTGTTATCCCATAGACATTGGAAGTTGGTTTCCTCTGATTGTCTGAAACATGTCAATTTGGATGTGATTTTGTGCTCAATAGTTTGCTTCCCACAGTAAGACACTTCTAAGAATTCTGCTTGATAAATGCTATATAGATACGTGTAATTATTTTTTCTGGCATAATTTCATAGTTAGATGTGGAAAGAAATGGGTTGTTTAGTACTGTTCAAATGGGTCATTAAATACAGTTCTGAAGAAGAAATGAGGAGAATGAAGTAGTTTCAGGGGCAGCCACTGGCTCACCTCTCTTATCTGTTTCATGCAATACAATTTCCCTTGTTCTTTCATCCTTCATTGTATTTCAGAGCCTTCTTGTAGACAGAGGCAGACAGGCAATGGCTTTCTGAATCGGATGTGTCTTTCAATTCTGTGTCAGCGGGAGGAAGGTGCTGCTAAACCTCTCCATCCTCTTGATTCAGACACAAGTCTTTAGTACCATCTAAATCTTGCACTACTGCCCTTAACTACTGGGATCTTGTCTGGTTAGGGGTGCATGTGTTTGGTTGTACTAAGCTCTCCATTTTCATTTAAGTAATTGCTCTGGAAAGGGAGAGGACAAGAGCTTCACTCCATACTTAGCAGTGCTCCAAAAGAGTGTGTGGGGATACAGACACATCTATGCTCCACTGAACAGCAACTAATCCTGATGGAGTGAAACAGGAGACCTTGTCTGGCCTGAAAAGAAATGACCCACAGACAAGCAGGTGTAGCATTTAGCTCGGATATGGACAAATGGTGGTGGGAGGATGTATGCCTGGTGATACATCACTACCTCACTGCCTCCTCACCCTGTACACTGTACATCCAGCTGCCTCCTGGGAAACAGCCCCACTGGTTTCTGGTGACATACTCCACAAAAAACAAGTCATCTGGGGTAAATCAACATCTTCATGGAAGCAAATTTCCTTGAATATTTCTTGGCTGTTTTCTTCCTTCCCTCCCTCTCTTCAGCAGATTTTTGTCTCTTTAAAGAGCAAAATGGGGCTGAGGGGTAGGGGAATGAAGTGACTGGTTGTAAATGTGAGGCAGTCTAGAGACTGCAGATGGGGCAGTCACACTACCGTGCAGGTTTCCAATGCCTGCACCGGGATCCTGGTCACAGAGTGAGTGCTACCTGGCCTGAGGCTACTGTTGCCTTTTCCTGTTGTGTTGCCTTCAAAGCCAGGTGTCTGAGTTCCCTGTGGGTTTCATCTGGGGAGAATTTATCACTGACAAATAACTGTTTGTGTTGAATTTACAGATGAGCTAAACCATTTCCTTTAATGTTGCAGTTTAGTACCCTTTTCCTCTTCAGATTTGCATGAGCACTGGCATTTGAAGGAAATAAATCTGCCACTTAGATAAGGTATTTGCCATTGCTACCAAAATATATAAATGACAATTACAAGGTCATTAACCATAGCAAGAGAAAGAAAAATGTATGTGCACTAGATAGCTGACTTCCAGGATGAGTTGGGCAAGTAGCAGTATACTAAAATGTGCTGCTCATTTCCCCTTCTGACCATGAAAATCAATTAATTCCTTTCTTTTTTCATAGCACTTCCCCTTTGCACTGGGAACCTCAGCATATGTCAGGCCAAATTTATGAGCAGTGCGTTTTCCAGTGTATTTCATTTATCAAATGTAAATTCCAGTGGCCAGTGATTTACTACAGAACTGTTTGGAAAGCAGCAAATACATATTGCCTATCAGAGTATTTAGGGAAAAAAAAAGGGCAAACTGGAGCGAAAGATTTCATCTGCCACTTTCCAAGCAATTTATCTTTGTCCTGAGAAGGCAGCTTAGGTGAAGAACTGGCCCAGTGTTATTCCGGAGTGCATCTTGCCTAGAAATAAGCTCTTATGCTCTTCTATGACCTTGGCAAGCAATGGATTATTGTTTACATTTTACTATCTTTTGTTTATTTCAGCTACATTATAGCATGAGGTGCAGATCTGAGGGAACTGAAAGCATAAGCTTCACTCACTCTGCGTCACTCCCGTATCTCACTGATTCAAAGAGAAGTCCTCGTTGTTTCCCATCCCAGAGTTCAGACAGTAAATAACCAAGAGGACAAAGCTGCCCAGTATATCACAGTGGTGCCTGGGTGATACAGACTCCACTCAGTCCCTTTTTCCATCTTCATCAACTCGGGGGTACACAAATAAGTGGCCATTTATTGCTTCTGATGTGACCAGGCTGCAGGTAAAAGTACACAGAACAGTTGCACCAGAAGTTTCTCCTTCCCTCGCTGCTGGCAGGAAAGAGCTGAGGGGAGGTAGGAGCACTAGTGAGAACTGCATCTACTGTGCTCACATTCATTGCCAAGCGTGGCAGTAACCCCTTTTGCTAAATAAACGAGTTTCACTTAATGGCCAGATTTACCAAGGCACCTTGAGCTGAGACTTCAGTCTCTATTCTTGGGTAAAATTTCCATGGGACATCCTGTACTGGCCAGGTGAGTCAGTGCTTGATTCTTATTGATGAAGGTAGGACAAAGCACATCTGTGGCTGGAGAATTGCTGCACTGAAAATCAGTGAAGCCTGCAGGGGCTGGATTAGAAAAAGAAAAGAGTAATTGACTGACTCACAATCAAAGTCTAGGTTTCTATAATGAGAAAATAAGTGTGTTTCCATGCCTTTTTTCTGGTGGTATTGTGCATGTGGGTAATTTGTTTCCTTCTATTTCCCAAAGGTAGTGTTTAAAACCCCACATAATAGGCTGTGGTGTGGAACAGGTCATCTGAGATGCTGATGCACACTAAATGTGTATCAGATTTTTCTGACAGTCACATTTTTGTTTGGTTTTAATAGTTTGTGTCACAGTCACAAAGTATTAGAAGTTTGTTTGCTGATTTCTCCCACATAGCCAGATGATTGAACTGACTTTTGTTGAAGTTTCAGTAACAAGCACTAGCTAAATTAGTCCCTATGGTAGAGGTTGCCACCTTACAATTTGTCTTCTGTCTAATGGTTCCAAGGACAGTGACATTATGGGGAAGGACTTGGATATTTGTGGCATGTAAATTTACATACCTAACACAGCCAGATGTGCATGCACCTCAGACTCATCTATAGTCAATGTGCGCAGAGAGAGGTAAGTCGGATGATCATTCTGAATAGTTCAATGGTGCCCATCTCTGACCAGGGAATTCTTTACATACAGCCCCTGAAAAGAAACAGAAGAGAACGAGCAAAACCTCCCAACATGTAATTGTTTTCTCTTCCCCCTCTCCCAGGTCTGGCAGTGTGGAGGAAGCATGGAGGTGTTACCCTGTTCCCGCGTGGCACATATTGAACGCACAAAGAAACCCTACAACAACGACATTGATTACTATGCAAAGCGCAACGCCCTGCGGGCCGCTGAGGTCTGGATGGATGACTTCAAGTCCCATGTTTACATGGCGTGGAACATCCCCATGGCAGTAAGTACAGGTCACACTCTCTCCTAAACGGAGGCAGGAATGTGGATGGCTGTTCCTAGTTAGCTCTTTGAGGTGAAGAGTAATTACTACAGGTGTACCAAGTGAGCTAAGCTTAAGGGGAAGAGTACTTCTGTGCTCATGCGTGCTTAATATGAAGAGTTCTGCCATGTAAACTTGCTTCCTCGGTGTAAGTTTTGTTGTACACCCAGGAACAGTGACACAGATTTATAATTTAACTAGAGCAAAATGTTTCAGGTTTATACGCTTCCTCAGAAGAAGTCATTAATTTGGGATGCCATTAAACTTTGAGGTGTTCATATGCTACAGCGGTGAGGACTACGGAAATGTCTATAAATAAATATCATCATTCATTGTGAGGCTCAATAGACCTCAGAAGCATAAAAAACAAAGTATGCGATAAAAGAATCACACATTAAATAGTTTTACTGTCTACAGGCCACGAGTTGCAATGTGGACACGTTCTGTTTCTCACTGTGCATACGAATTGTAGATGGCATGTGGGGGCCTCTAGGAATCCATGTAATATAAATATTAGATAAACTGTAGGTTCAATGTAACACTTTATTCTGTAAGTATATCACGTGCTACATCTCCACTGAGCATAATTCTTGGAGAGGAGAGAGGGATGTTATATCCCAGTCAGGTGGAAGCTGACTGCTGCTGTATTCTTTAGTGGTATTTGCATCCTAATTATTCACGTGAAGGGGCACAGGGAGAGCAGCTGAGGGAAAGCATGCTCCAATCTGTAGGTAGCGATGGTTTAGTTAACCCTTGCATGAGGGGCTGGTCCAGAGCTGATTGAAGTACATGGAAACAGGAATGTTCCTACCAGAACAGGAAGGTAAGTCTGTGTGAATATTCAGCTATGACCTAGAATCCATCAAAATCACAGGAGTCTCATCAGAGACTTGTAAGATTTAGACTGTGTCCTAAATATCTACATACTAGATATGTACTTTGGTGTCTAGGTACAATTCTTGTTCATTCCTGTTGTGGTTTTGCAACTCTTATGCCTAAAGGAGCCATGTTTCATTCTTCTCCATGTGATGTCTGAATATGTTAGATGTTCGCATGTGTTCAAATTGCACTCGTTGTTCAGTATCAGACACTCTGTGCAAGTTCTCTATGAAGATGTGTTTTGGTGACTTCTTTCGGCATGAGAGGTAATTGCAGAGAATTATTTTGCCTTAACAAAAGGCAGTACTGCATAATTTCTTTCCCACACAAGAATTCCATAACAGCTGGAGGGAGACAAAGCAGCATCCATCTAAGTTTTTAGGGCTGTTTTGGCCCTGTCTGCATCCATTTGATTAAACAGTCAGTTTCAAACAGGAGATGAAAATTAAGAGACATGAAGTCAGCAGAAGTACTGAAGATTAAAATTTTCTTTGCATAAAATAAATTTATTTATTTAATATTTATTTAATAACCCCATTAGCTCTCAGGAAAAGGAAGTGAGTGTCAGTGTTCACAGAGTTATTCCACTGTAGCGTTCCACCTAGATGACCAAGAAGTGCTGTACTGTTATGAGCCACAAGAAAAACCTTTTGCAGGAGAACTAGAAACCCCACTGCCTGGTTAAAAAGACTATGTCCACACACTAAATGATGTGGACACCTCATTCTTGTGCCATCACACTGTAACCTGCATGTGGTGACTGCAGCTAGTAGAGAAGTAAGTGCTGCACTTTCATAGCTGCTGTGTAGAAATGCCAGCATAAACATGGCACTGTACTGCCTCATTTTAGAATAGGGCATAATGGAAGAAAGTAAAATACGTGTTTTCTCCCATACCAAATCCTATCCAAATTAAGTCTGTCTTAATTCACACCATCTTTTCCACAACTCGCTCCCTTCCAAGTTACTGAGGATCTGTGCATAATGTGTGTCTTGATTAGCAGATGATCTTTGGACACATCTGCAAGATCACATTCCTATAACCTTCAGCAGGGGGTCAGCATAGCTTTAGTTAACCGAATAGTTGGTTTGCCCCTGCTTATGATCTATTCCTTGACAATTTTATTGATAAAGGAATCTTATATTGAATGATTTATTGTGCTGAGTGCCTCCAAGAATTGCTCGCCTTCCACGTAGCCTGAAGTAGTACGTAAATTAACATTCATTTGAATGGATGCTGCATAGAGAGCTCATGACAAAATATGCATCAGCAAGCAGCAGTGAGCACAGCAAACTCTTTATGTGGCAAATAGAAAAACCTGTTCAGTATTACACTTGTATTCTCTCCTGAAAATGAAGCATCTGTTGGGGATTCTAATAAACCCTGAGCTAAGATTTGCTGCTGTCTTGTAACCCTGTACTAGACACAATTTATAAATGTACAGGAATCTTTCTGGAGGAAATGTACATGGCACTTCAGGCAGATCCACTCACAACTCCCCAGGATCAGTCCACTTAATTCATATGTATTAGAAAAGATTTTTAGATGAGGTAACTCTGGCTGTCTTAGTGTTGAACTGTGATGATTTATAATGGTTTAAATCAACAGACGCTACCTCAGGACCTGGTATTTCTTTAATGGCTGGGGTTGATCGTATTGATTTGACTCTTCCAGCCTGTGTTTTTCATGGGATTTGAACTCAAACAAGAATTAAATTCTGAAGCAGAATTATAAAGAAGGTTTTGTGTTTAACTGCGGTTTATGGCTCAGGTCTGCAAATGAGCTCCATTTCCAGTAAAACTGAATGCTGGTCTATGTAAATGTTTAATGGAGCTTAATGACTTTTTGAGCAGCTCTGCTTTGAAGTTTTAACAGGTCTGTTCTGATCTCATTTACATTAGTGAATACCCAAGGCTGTTACTAGAGTAAACCATGATCACGCTGCCATATCTTAGATCAGAATTACTGCCTAAATTCCTAACGAATCTGAAAACAAAGGAGTTCAAGTTTGATTGCAAACATTTAGAATTGCTGTAAGTGACAGCATTCTTATTGTATTCTTATTATTTTGATTTATGTTTGGTTTTTACTTGTTCGTTATCCTTCTTCTTCCACTGACTTTCATTAATATTTATTGTCTGCTCTCAACAGCAGCTGTTTGATAAGCTGCTACTTAGGAAAGAGAAGGAAATACAGCTTGGTATACAAAATGAACTCCAATTTGGTTTCAGTAAAGAACACAACTGTAAAGTCAATGCAGTGAGATTTCTTTATTCTTTTTCTGCTTTGTAGAATCCTGGAGTTGACTTTGGAGACGTTTCTGAAAGAATAGCTCTACGACAGCGACTGCAGTGCCGGAGTTTTAAGTGGTACTTAGAGAACGTCTATCCTGAAATGAGGGTTTATAATAATACAATCACTTATGGAGAGGTACTGTATGTCTTTGAAAATACATCACGGCTGCATTAGAGCAGTCTTTTCATCTTGATGGTGGCTATCAGGATGTACTGAGCAATTTCAAGTCAGCACAGTAGTAGCAAAAGAAATGCCCTTCCCTGCGTTTAATCACCACTAAGAAGCGTGGCTTTGAGAAGCTCTGTCCCTCTTGCTGGGGTATGATTGTGTAATGATGATGCACAACCTCCTTGGTTTTCACTTTAGAACAGAGCAGCTCTGATAACATAAATTTGGGGTAATTGTTTCCCAAATAGGATGCCACAGACATCCTCAAGAAAACATCAGCAGTCAAGACAGCTGTAATAATTACAGTTAACGAGAACAGCTGAGTTTGCTCAATTGTTCTTAAGTAAAGAACCACCTTTTTTTGGGTTTTGCCAAACTACCTGAAGGATTACATTCACTTTATTAATCATTTTTGCATTCCTCATTGTTCAGGATAGAAAGCAACATACCCTTACTCAGATTATGAGGTGAGGCAGGTCTTTATCTCATCATGAAAAAGTCAGAGGAAAAAACAATTTTGCTGCTTTGTGATCAGATTCTGTATTTACATTGTCACTTGGGTACTAGTGTTGAGTAAGACCCTGGAACACCTACTCAGAGACAAATGAGTGGATGGGTTACTTAACCTTACTGAAATGCTGGATCTAAACATGTTAGAAATGTGTAGACGTTTCAGTTCAACTCAGCTGTCTGGAACATTTCTTCCTCTGCTGTGAACCAATCAGAGCTCCCACATATGTTTGACCCCAGTCTGTAGCGAAGTCAGACATGCCTTCTGTAACTCCTCGAATCTGCCATGTGCCTGTGATGTAAGGACTGCTGTCACGACTGTGAACTGGGCTGAAGTTCTAGGAGCTTCTTGCGATTCTGTTTTAATTGTCTACTTGAACTACAATTAAATCCAAAGGCAATATATTTTTACCCAAGACAACTAAATGGACATTCTTCCCTTCTGTTCCATTTGATCGACTTCATGTAAGTCAGGCACTTCAGCTATTGATATTAAGTGTAAGTTTTATTGCATAATATCACTTTGTATCCTAATATAAGTATCCCTGACAGTAAGAGGAAAGACATTTAGTAAATTCAACAAGAGCTATTAGTAACTGTCAGCTCTGAGAAGGCTGTTAACTGTGAGGAACATTGGCAGTTCTGCCAATGTTGTGTCACTTACACCAGACGGTTAGCAAGCTGGGCTCTAAAAAGAAGTTTGTTTCTGTTGAGTGGTCGCATAGAAGGTTTTTGAGTCAAACAGGAAGTTTAGTGATGCAAGCATCTAATTCATTAAAACTTATAATAAAATAGAACACACAAGCTATTTAACTGGTAAAAACTGGCGTAGTTCCCTCTCAGTCTTAACATGCTTGCAATGAAAAAACTAGAGGCTTCATCCTAAATGACATCAAGTTTTATTAAGTAATTTCTCTTCTGCTTATTTTCTTGGAGGAAAATATGTCTGGATTTTAGTGACTTTAAAGAAAAATGTATTGAGTAGATGTGAAACAAATTGAAACAGTAGTAAAAATATATTCTCTAGTGACTCAATTCACATTTTTTAAAGCCGTGCCATAAAGCTGTCTTCATCTTCTTAAGCCTTTATAGTACCTGAGTCGTAAAATAAACCTTCTCACATTTAACTGTTGAACCCCCTTATCCAACCAGATCCCCTGTTACGCTCCTATACTATAATATCAAGAATTACTTACTGATTTTTCCAACATGTCACGCAGCAGCTATTTCTATATTATGGGGCCAGCCAAATACTTCACAGTCTAAACTAAAAGTCAGCTGTTGACTGTTTCAAAGTATCTAAATAACTTCTTGTTTAAGAAGTTCTTGCTGTATCCTTTCACAGCGATGTGCTTTATGTCACTCCCATACAAAGCCATATCCTTTATTCTCAGTTCCACTAGAATGTTTTCACGTGGGGTTTTTTGTTTCTATATGAGCAAGAGGGGCAAACAAAATGGTGCTACAGCAGGTTGTCCAAATTGTGTCTTTTCCTGGTGTGAAGTCGCTACTGGCATCCTGTCATACCTGGAGAATCACCATGTGTTTCTCAGACAAAAACGGTTCTACGTTGTTTCAGTAGCTGTAGTGCAGCTCAGATTTAGCTGTACTGGACTTGCATCATACGAGCTAGTTTCTACTGCAGTTGTTTTCTTTCTGATCTGGTTACAGGTTCGTAACAGCAAAGCTAGTGGCTACTGTTTAGACCAGGGAGCTGAAGAGGATGACAAAGCAATCCTTTACCCATGCCATGGAATGTCTTCTCAGGTAAATGGTTAAAATCCTATCATTAATAAGAAACCTTTAACTTAAAAGAATTTTCACAAGAAACAAGAAGTAATTTGGTTTCTTTGATTTGAGGTTGGCAGTATATTCCTGAGATGCAAAGGAAAATATCTGGCTTTACTCCAGTCTTTCGGGGTGCCCTTTCTAAGGCTGTTCAGCATCTGTATCTATATATTGAAGGTGCTAGTCAGAAAAACAGAAGAATCGTGATAGTTTGTTTTAGTAACAGAGAGATCCACCACAGATCAATGAATTTAGACAGCTTGTGTGAGTGAGCAGCTCTTCTCGTTATGACTTGACTTGTTCTAGGAATAGTACCTCTTTAAATTAACTGTTCGTTGGTCCAATAGGCTCCTATGCAGAAATGATTTAGCAAGCTGCTGATGTGATTCCCCAAGTAGGCAAAAAGTTAAGCACGTATTTAACGTCAACTTCAAAGGGAATTAGGAACATCTTTTAAGGTAATGCTTTTCTAGAATAGAATTCTTTTTCACTGGTCCCTGTGTGTATTACTATTTTCTCAGAGATGCCTGAAGATTCTAAAATGGCATTTCTTCTTTCCACACTCACAGTGATGTTACTTGTTTTTTAAATACAAGTTGGGTATTATTTAAATCCGGGACTTGAGCTTCCTCTGAAATGTAATTCTAGTTTCTTTTGAAGTACCATCTGAATCAAAACTACGTTAATGAACATTCTCATGTGTAAATAAACTCTGACCTTATCACAGACTTAACAATTATCTAGAGTTCAGTCATACATATATTGATTTGATTCCTGGCTCATCCGTCACCGTGGAGGCATAACAAGAGTTGCAAAATATAAATATTGCCTATAGTGCTTAATTGCAAGCTGGTGAGGAGTCACACCTGATTAGAGCGAAAGGCCAGTAATTCATGCTGACAAAATGTCCACCCTTGGCAGGATCATTACAGAACATTTGACTGACACTTTCCTAGCAGAAGGAATAGCCCTTGAGTAAGGTAACAAAATAGTGTTGCTTAATTAGATGTAAATGAGCCTCTCAAGAAGACTCTAGTTAGAGATGTCAAGGCACTCAGAGTTCAGTCTCTTGCTCTGTGCTAATTCTGACCAGAAAGCTGCAAATTCAAGTCCTACCAGAAAGTCCCTTTGCAACATCTAATCTCCCATCATCATGCTAGCATTGGGAACAATAATGAAATAAACAGTTCTGACTGCAATTTATTTTATTAAGTCCTTGACCTACTTGCTTGCCTCCACAACTCCTGTTTTATACCATGTGCTTTGACTTCCAGAAGAAGAAAATAGATGAGGGTGTAAGTTACTGTGAATTTATTTGAAAAGAAGTACAACGTGCCTAGCTTCTCCTAACTTAACTCTTGTAAATCTGGGGACATAAAGCAGTTCACCTCTCAGCATCCAGATCTGACCTATTTTTTCCATTAAGGAACATGTCATTTTCCTTTTAGTAAGATGTAAATCTGTTGCCTAGTAAAGGATGCCTTTAGAATTGTGGGCCCTAGACTAAACACTGGGCAGTTTTTCTCAGATGCAAATAACAATACACAAATGATTTATTGCCCTAGAAGATGAAGTTAGGTAGTGAACATGTTCAGTCTCTTCTGTGTCCCTTCTGCTATGGGTCTTCAGTATCCTGTCTAAGTAAATGTTGTGAAGAAGCCTGAAAAGCTGTTTTCAGACTTCACTTTAGAGCCACAAGCTAGAGCTTTTTTGTTACTTGCAATGTATAAATACATAAGAAGAGGAAGTCACTCTTCCCAAACCCTTAAAATCCAAAGTATGCCATGTGTGCGAGAATTATGAAAGTATGGGAGAGGCAGAAAGTTAATCTACCAAATCACCCTGCAGCACTTTCCATTTCCCTTTTAAAAAAGGAGGAAAAAAAGTTATCCCTCAGATACTAAGCAGAAGGCAGAGGTGATGTTTTGTCAAAGTTGAGTATTTCACAGACAAGCATGGGTTGGAGTCACTCAGAGGCAGCCAAGTTAATTAATGATTACATAGCTGGAAAACTTCTATCATCTCACACCACAATTAATTCAGTATGAGAACCACAGCTGCACAAACCCTCATCAAGGATATTCAAGCACATAGCATGAAAGGTGTTGACAGCAAGCGTTTTAATATATTAAATAAACATTTTTAAAGCCCCTCTTCTCATCAGCCTGGGTGAGCACAGTTGTCTGTTATGTTTAGCTTTCAGTTTCTGACATTTTTCATCTCAAGCACAGGGCATGAAATACCCTGAGTTGAGATTTGGGTTAGTTGTACATGCCTGCTGAATACATACGAATATAAGCGTGGGACTTGTTTTCACCAGGTAGGCTATCACTGGTGCTTAATGCGTCCTACCGGTGTGAAAGCCTCTCATTTTTCAGCTGCTGCCTTGCTTGTCTATCATACTCTTCAATTCTGACAAGCAATTTTAGTGATTTTAATATACACATCGTTCTACTGAAGAAGAAAGCTGAGTTAGGAGTAAGATTACTGTTCATCTGTGATAAAATGTTCTTTTCTTCTACTTGCCCTTCTTCTACTTCTTGCCCTTCTATTTCCTTTGCATATTGCACACCCCTGAATGGTGGTGTCCTGCATTGCCAGTGAAAAATAAAGCCACTCCACTGTTATTGCTCAATGAACAAAATGCTTTTCCCTATGTATTCTCAAGATCCTATTTTACCATGACAAATCACATCTTTTCAGTGACATCAGCTTTTAAATTTCTTTATTCAAACAGGGACAAGCTCTTTTATGGATGCTCTGGAATGCATTTAGCCTGAGTTTACATCAATTTAGCTTGATGAATTTGACTTGAGCTAAGTCAGGGTAACCTAACAGCTAAGAATATCCAGACATCAGTCTAAGTTGATTGAAAAACTCAGTTTGCAGAAAAATAGTGTCCTTTCTATATTTGTTCATTGGATCTGAAGTTTGAGTCTGATCCCTTTCAGGAGAAATTGTTTGCAAATACTGATAGGAGAAACAGTCTAGGGCTGGAGAGAATTCAGAAACAAGGGAATATATTGGGGATCTTGAACTGTCTTGCCTCTGCATGTGGCCTCTCTTGTACAATCACCTGTAAAGCCCATGGTTCCATAGCACTACATAATACCCTTTTGTTGTAAAAGAAATTTTAAAAAGGGAGGAACAGATACAACCCCCAAAAAAGTGGAATGTGCTGTTCTGGAAGCTTCTTAGCATGGTTATAGGACGTGCAGGTTTTGAACCATCTGAGAACACTTACACAGCCTCAGTGGAAATACTCAGTGTCTCGGAGTCAGTCTCGAGTGCTGTGATGTGGAGCTGATTATATGGTATGTGAAAGAAGAGGAGAACTTAATAAAATAGCATCCTGGAATAAAAGGGCCCTGGTGAACAGCCTCCTTCTCCACCCTCCTCTCTTCCCTTTCATACTGAGAGAAAGACCAGGCACTGCAGCAGTGACAGCAGAACTCCCTCCGCATTGAGATCAAGAAAAAAGAAGGAGCTCTCAACATGCGGATTCCTGGAGCTCACAGCTACGCAAACAGATGGGAGGAAGAGGAGATGAAAGGCTTTACTTAAACTGTTGCTTGAGGCCAGATATTTAACATTTTGCTTGGTAGAGCTACGGCTTTCCAGCATGGCATGCTGGGGAGCAAGTCTGATTGCTTAGAGTGGGGTGGATGAAAAGGAAGTTTCTTCACTTGCAGGAAGCAGTGGGTGAGGCTCACTAACAGACCTCAAAGTTTGGTAACTTGTGATGTTTGTCTTGTGGTGACGAGTATTCTGGAGACTTAAGGTATTTCGGATGCCTGTGTAGCTCGCTGTTTCAGACTGTGTGTCAGCTTACAGCTTACCTTAACCTGCAGGGCCAAACACTCAATAAAGCTTTCCTTTTGCTTGGAGAACAAGAGTGTGAGAGAACGGTTAAATTTAGTGCGGGAAGCTACCAGACCCATCCCTGTAACTGTTTCCTACTATTGCCTGCTGTTAGTTTGTGCTTTTTTTCACTTGACTGGAAATTAGCGGAATGGATTTTGTGAAGTCAAACCCTTCAGTTAAAAGTCAGCATTTACTTATCACATTGCTGCTCCTGGAGGATCACCTGCCACAGGCAGCACCGTGCGCTATTTCTGAACCAGATATGGTGGCTTTGATAAACAACCTTTGACATCTTTTACATTCTGCTCAGATTTCTGAATGTTGAAGGGAGAACTATCTTATGTTATCATGGGTACAGCAGATTGTATCAGGATTAGATCTTGGAGTATTTAATAGAGCACTTAGCTTCAGTGTCTTTTATGTGGATCCTTCAGCTCTTCTCAGATAAAAGAGAAAATCTGAGCGAAGGTCCGTCCTCATGTGATGTTTAAAACTGTGTTTCAGTTCTGCAGCTTGCAATGGGAGTATGTGGACACCTGAGGCTCTCAGCCCATTGAGGCTTGCAGACTGTTTTTTTCTTTGTGAAAGGGATTGAATATTCCTTAATAAAGGGGACTGTGTCATTTGATTTTGGCTGGCTGGCACTGGGAATGGATTTGGCTTCATGTATCGTGCCTACAGTTCTAAAGCAAATTCAGGTTCTTTCTTGGGATGGTGCTGGCACTTAACATCAAATTTGAACGCCGCAGGTGTAATTTTCACTATTTCATGGACTTTGTGTCCCAGTTCTTAAGGGAGATGTTATTGTATAGTAGCTTCTTGAACCTTAATTTCTGGTCTGATTTTGCAGAAGCAGGCACTAAAGCTTTACAATATAATATGGTGTGAACTAATTGTTTGTGGGTTGTTTTTTATAATTTTATTTTATTTTAGGATAAGCCTAGATTTTCATGACTGTTGGAACTCTTGACAGAAAGTACAGATTCAGGAAAATTAAGCCCATAATATTCCATTCATCTCATCATGTACAGACAGCAGCTTCCTGCACTGTCACACAAATGTCACTTCCAATATTGAAGATAGTTTGTAGTAGGGTTGGTGTATCTTCCACTGCTGAGGCCTAAGCAAAGATGGCACTTTCTGCTTCGACAGGCTTCTGTATAACAATGCCTTTCTCAAGCACATGGCTACTGTGATGCACAGCACATGCAATTCTGGCTACTGAGATTCTAAAGACAAAGAATATTTTAGACCATTTTAGTATCAGTACAGAAAATGCTGCTCATCTTAAACCATGGGGAAATCTGATCCTATACTGTGGAGCAGGCAGCCCATTATAAACAGTGGTGCTGATTATCTGGAGAAGGCAAAGCAAACCAGGTCGCTAGAAGGTATTTTGGGACCTGGACAGATATAATAAAGACTGCAAGGTGAACGCATGTCCCAGTCAGTGGAAGTTTCAGCCATGCAGTTCATGTGAACTGTGCTGAGTACTCATTAGATATGAGAAGTGTGAAATACACAGACTAGTTTTACTTTTAAAAAAAAGGTTTATGGTGAGGTTTGGGCTGATTTTTTTCCCTCCTTTATAGGGAATAAAGGAAGTTAATTTGTTCAAGCTGGCAGTCCATTCATATTTTGATTCACTTTGTTTGCTTGAGCTTTTTCTACTTATGTCCCCTGTACCCTTATGAAAGTAAAAAAGTGTGTCGATTTAGTGTGTGCAGACAGTGCCTCAACAATGATACTGCTCACGCCAAGGAGCATCCTCATGTGGTTATCCCTCTGTTTTCTCTTACGTAGGCTCCGTTCCAACCCTTCACTTCACGTGATTGCTCTGAACAGACATGGCAGGTGGGAAAATGAACACATACTTTGTCAGAGGGCATCTGGTCGGGGAGCAAGCAGACCATGCTCTTTTTATCACCAGCAAGATATGATTATTCCCAGCATGATTCTTCTGAGGTTAATAAGGATGGCAGTAGAAAGCTAGACTCCAGTCTGAGGGGGTTTGATTGACTCTTAATGGTATCTCATGCACTGGTCAGCCACATCTAATAAATGGCAGGCACTTCTGACCTTCCTTCCCTTTTTTGTAAAGTAATTTCAGCCACATAACAGCAGTAAGACAGACAGGCAGTGAACTTCCTGAGTGATAACTGCATTTCTTTGGTGGCTCAGCTCTTTACCCTGCAGCATCCAGCCCCACAGCATACAAGCCACGCAGCTGACTCTATTTTGCAGTCTTGGCACCTTAGTGCTGCACTTGACTACTAGGTTGAGGAGGGCAAAATATTATGCTGGTATAATGACGCTGGATTTAAACAGAAAAGAACTGAGAAGTAGGTGCATCTGATTTGGCATACTGGCCTGCTGCCAAATTAACATGGTGCATTTTCACTTTAATGTGCTTTGGCATCTACTTCAGTAGGCTCTCCCTCAGCTATGTAGGAAGTAACAGTAATTAAGGGGATTGCTTATAATTTTTGCAACTTGTAAATGAGGACTCCATTGCTACCATAGTTATCTCAGTGCAATGTGACACACAGCGAAGCTTTCCCCTCTAAATGAGCATCCTAAAAGCACCCGTACAGCTTTGAGGCTTTATTAGAATACAGATTGAAACAAACTGCAGATCTGGAAGTGGGAGATTTCTTTTTGCTCTCACACAGAGATTATAAGAGATCAATTTTTTTGTGTCACCTTCCACATATGGATTTCTGTGTTCCTTGAGGGCCATTTTACTGTGAAGGACTTGAGGCAACTAAAATCGTCACTTAAAACTGAAGAAAGGTTAAAAAAAACACAGACTCCTGTAAAAATTAACATGACTGACTGTGCCTGGTTAAGTTTATTAAAGAAACCCCTCTAAAATAAATGACCCTCACCTGAAGCCTCTAATTACAGCCAGCAGCATTTACCACCTCACTAAACTGCACAACATTTAAGCCTCACACAAAACTGAAATACCGGAGTGTGATTCTTTATGATGTAGGCCTGAAGCATATGTTAGCAAATTTGCTGCTGTTTCTCTCCTGATTTCTTTTTTCCTCTCATATTTTTGGATCCTGGATGCATGGTTGGATTTTTTTAGTTACAAAAACTAATTAGACTTGTTGCCATCAATAGCTTCTAACAGAGCTCTTAAGAACAAAGTGCATGACGAAAGTGACATTGAATCTTTTTAAACCAACTCCTGCTGAGTGGGTATGATTTACATACTGATTACTTCACCTTCTTGAGTGCCCTTTTGCAGTGAAACAGGGGGTAGGGAACAGTGGGGAGCAGAGGTGTGAAACAAGGCAATATTGTGCCCTACAAGAGACCTGTCTTGGTAAAACAGGTTTCCCAAGCTTTGCCCCTGAACACCATGCACCAGACCAGGAAGGTCCCAACACGCAGCAGGACAAAGGACTCTTCATCAGCACTTGGGGCAAAAGCTGGCAAAGTAGTCAGCTGCTGGTTGACTTTGTGTCCCTTCACTGGGGTCCTCAGGGCTGCAGTTAAAGCCTTCCCTCCCTTTCCTTTCTTCCCTAGCTTGTCCGCTACAGCTCCGATGGTGTCCTGCAGCTGGGACCGCTGGGCTCCACGGCCTTCCTGCCCGATTCCAAATGCCTTGTTGATGATGGGAAGGGCAGGACACCGACCCTGAAGAAGTGTGAAGATGTCCTGAGGCCAGCACAGAGGTTCTGGGATTTCACACAGGTATGGAAGAGTTCAGGGATAGGTTGCAGAGATAAGTTGGAGAGGAATGCAGTGTTGGAAGATATTTAATGGAAAATAAGGGGGCCTTTAGAGGACTGTTGTAGGAACTCCCGCTTATGCCTTCTAGAAATAGTCAGATATGTTTTCTATAGTTCATGTGCTATCCAGGAATTTTCTTGTATTATTACTAGGAATTTTGAGGAATACTTTCCAGGAATGTTTAGTTATCCTTTCTTGGAATATTCTCGATTTCTGTAGTGATTGTAAAGAAAATACTTGTAAAATTTTTCGTGTCTAGGAATTTTTGTTTCTAGAACTTTTATAGAATTTTTCTAACCTCTTTCTAGGAATTTTTAGACCAAAGCTTTAAAATAATTTTCAGGACTTTCAAAGGTATTCTTACGGTTTCTGGGATCTCCTGTATTTTGGGGTCTGTAGGGATTCTTTAGTGCTTTTTAGAGATTTCCTAGTGCTTTCTGGGGAATTTTCTAGCAATTCCTAAATCTAGGATTATCAAGGAGTTGTTTTGGCAGTTTCTATGGATTATCTAACTTGTCCTAGGAATCTCCAGTACTTTCTAGGGACTTTTATCACTTGGCATATGCAGAACTTTCCAGGCATCTTACAGTGTTTTCTAGGGATTTACAGATGTAGCACTATTTTTCTTCTAGTCTTTTCACCTTTTCTAATCCTTCTTTTCTTTTTCTTTTTTCTCAGAATGGTCCAATCATCAGCAGAGATACTGGCCGTTGCCTAGAAGTGGAAGTGTCAAAGGATGCAAATTTTGGGCTCAGATTAGTTGTACAAAGGTGCTCGGGGCAGAAATGGATGATTAGAAACTGGATAAAACATGGCCGACACTGACTGCCGAGGCTCAGAAGCTGCCTCTCCTGCTGTTGTCCATTGCTCAGTGTGCCATATTTTGCAAGGAGGCATTTGTCTTAAAATAAGTTAGTCTGAACTGGACTTGACTTGACTCTCAAGTCCTCCAAAGTCCTTTCCTTTTCAAAGGGAAAAAAAAAGAAGAAAAAGAAAAGCAGACACATACATGCCCTGTTTGACTCTCCCTTGTTCCGGTAGATGACCTGGGAAGCTTAACAAGAGTTTTCTGTTGATTTGGAAGTCTTGTGAAGATCAGAACACAGCAGAAAAGAGCTAAGCTCTCCTAGAGAAATTGGCAGACAGATGTTTCTGCGATGAGTTGAAAAGAGAGATCCCAATACTGCCTCATAAAGAGAGTTCTCTGATGGGTAGCTTTTTAGCTTTAAGTTATTGACTGGTGCACAACTCCTATGGTGAATAATCATGTGCCTTTTTTATTGTACTTCGTATAAAAGGGGACTGGTCAAATCCTACCTTTTCAGCATGTCTGGTTCATTGTACTAAACAAGATGATCTGTAAATAACACTGGAAATACAATATATGATAAATTTCAAGGTTGATTGTTTAGGAGTCTCTGTTTCTAGAAAGAGACTGTTCTGCAAATGTTTACAGGTGGTTCTCAACCTTCAAGCTGCTAAAAAGCAGCATTTTAGAGACCTCTTCTATTTAGACACAGGTAAATGTTGAATAGGTAAAATAGCCACATGCTCCATGATATTGCCACATTTTACATTTCTTGGCTGTAAAGGCATCACAATATAGTCCTTGCATATTTAACTCTTCTGAGGTGGTAAATGTCCTAATAGAGAGATGAGTTTCTAGAAGCCTCAGTTTGCTCCACAAGCCCTGAGTTTGTAAGTGCAAGGTTCCTACCTGCAGTGCTGTGCATGCAGGTGCACTGTTGTGTTGTTCCAGAAACTGCCTGGAAGCTGGATACTCGTGACTTCTGGAAAGAAGTTGACAGACTTAGGTGCCATCTGTGGAATGTAACAACTTGAATCCTCTGTTTCATTACCCATCCTGTGAAAATGTCAAATGTGAGCAAATACGCTTTGTGAGCACTGTCTGATTTTCTGAACAAACCAACGAAGTCTTTTTGGTATTTGAAGAACAAATAAAAACCTAGTGATAAGAGGACAAATTAGAGCAAGAACTAGGCAGCATATATACATACTGTTACTCTGAAATATAAATATTTTAGTGTAGTTGACCCATTGACAGCATCTTTGTGAACCTGAACTTAATGAGGTATCCAGTGGTTCACGCAGTATCTGTGCACAGATAGCCAGAGCCTGACCCAGACAAGGCCTTACCTAGAAGACTGTCAAAGTTGATGACCATTGTCAATGTCAGCAGGCTTTGGATACAGGTCCATGGCAGACAGCTTTTCATTTAGAGAAGATTCAGTCATACTGAAGGAGAGATAGAAATGGTATCTGTTAACTTCACTGTTTAATATTTTATAGTGATTTTTTAAAGAAGTTTTGTTTTACTGAGCCAGGGAAACGGGTAATTGCAGACACTGTGGTACTGTGAATCTTGGTGATCTGTTTCTTGAACAGTTTTTGCCATTTCTATTTCAAGGCATGCTGAACAAACTAGAATGGAAACAAAGTTAATTTTTCAAGGTCATGATATATAATAAAATACTTACTTTTAACATGCAGAATCCATCAGTTCTTGTCAACTCTGGGTTGGTATCTAGAGAGCATATACCTATATTTTGCCCCAACTTTATTTTTGAAATGGAGTGTGCAAGATGTAATACAAAGCCAATTCTCCTGGAGTTTATTTGTGGCTCACTGCTAATCTTTAAATAGTCACATGATCAGGTTATGCATGAATATATACAAAAGAATACATCTGGGTGAGAGTGCAAGATATAATACAAAGCCAATTCTCCTGGAGTTTATTGTGGCTCATTGCTAATCTTTAAATAGTCACATGATCAGGTTATGCATGAATATATACAAAAGAATACATCTGGGTGAGATTCTAAACACAAAAATGCTTTAAAATTCTGTGTTTATGGTTAGTTGAACACAACCTACTGAATGGTGTAGTAAGACCTGCAGGGAGAGGTAGCATCTTTAATAAATCAAGCAATATAGTAAAAAATCATGGACAAGCTCAGTATTCAAGCCTTCCTGTCGATCTTCAACAGGTAGGAAGCTTCAGGCTAAATACAGATTGGGAACAGTTGCTCTGTATTTAACCTCCCATTAGACAATTTAAAAGGATAGGTACCATCACTGGATCAGGCGTTGAACACTTTGCAGAGTTCTATTTCTAAGCGACTTTTCATCTTTTCTCCAGATACAGTTTCTCCCTTTTAAATTGTATGAAAGCTGTATTCTGCTTTTGTTTAGTCTGATGGAGTTTTATGCCTTGAAATATTTGGCTGAGGGAGATGAGGAGGCAAAAGAAAGGAAAGACCAGTTTGGATAAACCAGTTGAGCTTTTTGGGGAGTAACATCACAGTTCATTCACAGCATATGTAGTCTTTCCAATGAGAAAATGGTAACTATTTTATATGAAGATGGCTGGAAGCTGAAAGTAATTATGTATCAGTGTGACTACTAAATGCCTAACTATTAGGGTATAAACTTACTGTATGAACAGAAGCAAATATGCCACATGCTTTTCCCCTTTTTATCTTTGTTGTCTTGAATTGCTAATCTACATTTGATCCTCAGTTAGCAGTGGGGCACCAAGCCTTTCAAATCCTGGGTAAATGAAAAAGGAAGGCTGAATATTTGGATGAATACCAGGTTTAAATTTACTATCCTAAAAGAAATGTTGCATTTGTGGGTTTAGAGGATTGGAAGCTGAGGAAACCAGATAGATGTGGCAAAGATTTCAAGCAAGCATGATAAGCCTTCACTATGACACCACCACCATGAATGTGAATTGTTGTCTTGGAATTTTGCTACTGCAAATTTTGCTACTGCTTTCAGGGCACAGTGCAAAGCATTTGGATGTGGCCACACCATCTGACAGAAAGTGGTCAGTCCTGGCAAGCCTGGAGTGCAGAGACACGGGCTGCAGAAGGCTGGTGAGAACCCGACTATCTGTCTAAGAAGGAAAACAGAGTTTCCTGATAGATAAATGGCTCTCAGACTTACAGAATAATATATAAGAATTCAAATAACACTTAAAGGTGAAGCTGGTATTTTCTGTGATTGTCATTTTTTAAAGATTTACTGAAATAATTTCTTAAAGAATACATCTGTTGGATTATTTTTACTTTAGTCTTTATCTGTATGAACCACTGCTTTGGCTGTGGTATAAACATGGTGACTCTGCATGTGAGAGGGTCTTAAATATTCTCTCATAAAAGGAATAATAATAAAAATAGCCTTGAGTATTATCTGTTTTAATCAAAGTCATTGGTCTTTTGTCAGTTTTTCACCCCTTACTATAATCTGAAGTCCTGCTTAATGTTTTCAAATTAACAGTCTTGTTTCCCACAGTGCAGGAATCCAGATATTATCATAAGTATTTAATGTATGTCTTGTAGAGAAAATTCAGCCAAAAATCTTCAGTTGCTATTTTGTTTGATTTAGGAGATTATGGAGTTAAATACTAGGTCCTAGGATGGAAGAATAGAAGGTGAGAAAGAATATCAAGTCTACTATGCTGCTAGTATACTAGGTAGTATAGTTTTAGTGGCAAACCAGTAAAAATAATAGTTTTGTAATTATGTCAAGAACCCTAAAAATTAGTTTGAGTCATTTGGGAGGGGGCGGAAAGCCCTTTCTTCTTTGAGAGCCATAAACTATTTTCCAAGCTGAATTTATTCCTGGCTTGATTAAAGCCACTTGTTACTCCGCCAAAATGTTCCTAGCTTTACTGGCTCACTGGTTCCTGAAGCATGCTAACCACCCATGGGAGGCAGCCAAGAGTAAAAAAAAAGCTAAAAGAGATGTTGAAGGACCGGATGGATTCCCCTGTGGTTATGTAAAGATCTGTTTTATTCTCATCCATGAGGCTTAAGAACTTTTCAGGATGGTATGCATCCAAAAAGCAAAACTCTGGTTCCACAGAAGTGATCTACGACATAATATGGAAACAAACAGGTCTTCATACGTGTTCTGAAAGTATGGAACTATCTTATCTCATTTAAATGAATAATGTGGGGCTTGATGTGTCTGAAGATAAGACCTTTGCAGCCCTTTCTTTGTATTTCTTTTCATCAGCCTGCTCCACTTTAAAAACCATGGTCTAGTAGATGAAAACCTCACTTGCTGCCTGACAAGGGGTGTAATCTAGCTGACACAGGACAGCTGCAATTTTAAGTACTTAAGCCAGAGCTAATAAGATTTAATGAAATAGCACCAGTCCTGATCTGTTCTTTAGATCAATTACACAGCATGTAATTCCTTGAGTATCCAGTATTCATTTGAAATGCTTCATTAACAGCCACACTAAAGCACATTATGGCCTGTTTTGGGACCAAATGCGTTGGGTTTTAAGAACTTTAATAGAAGTTGGAGTTCAGAGGGAGTTTGGCATATTGCTAGTCAGTTAGGACACAAACACCTTTGGTTTTTTTCATGAAAGGCTTTGGGAGGAAGAACAACTGTCAGAATTTGCTTAATTGAAAATGTTTCTAGCAACGATACTACATTTTCGACTACAGCTATTGTGACTGCCTGCTGCTTACTGCTAGTCAAAGCTGATGGTGAGGTCATGCCACAGATAAAAGATGGTATTGCAAATAGAAGAACCAGCTTCTGGTTCTAATGAGCTGGATAGAAACCAGGTCTTCAAATGTCTCCAGATCTGGGTGCCGCCAAAGTCAACTTACTATTATGTTCTCTCTGGAAAGAATCCCCAACTTAACACATTTTTGTATTGCTTCACCAGGAATACCTGTTCAAGAGGCCACTGTAGCCTGTACCTCTAAATCACATTTTGCAGATACAATTTGTTTTGTGTGTGTATATGTAATGTTAGTGGAGTTAAGGTGAGAGCTGTTAGCTACTGTACACATAGAAAATACATTAGATCTACTGAAGTGTGTGCATCATGCATTTACAACTTCCTGTGGGGTAACCAGGATATTCTTGAAACACTAATGCACTGAGTGCATTCT